CCCACGGGTCGCGGAGCGCTCGACCCGCATCTACGAGGCAAACAGGATCACCGAAGACGAGGAGCCTCGCATGGTGCAGTTCTACGAGAGATGGGCAGCTCTCCTCGACGAGTTCAAACCGGAGGCCAACCACGTGCACAACACGGACGAGACAGGTGAAGATCCGTTCGTAGACGAGTCTAGGTCTAGACTCGTCTAGACTAGTGTAGATAGCCTACAGCAGTAGTGTACTTTCTAACAAGTGCGGCCGTTGTGTGGTCCGTTGTGACAGCGACGTTTTTTGTAGGGGTTTATTCGAGGGGTTTTGCCCGGACGCCGGGTTTCCCCTCCATATATTACCATGTTGGTATTTCTGATGTATCCAGGGGCGTTCTTGCCCCATTGATGGTTAGTCACTTGCGTGAAGAACCAGGGAGGGTGCTCGTGGGTCTGCGAACATTGGTGTTGGATACATGTGCTGTATGATTTTGTTGTCACGCAGATTTGTAAGATTGCCGTTTGGTAGGGGGCACCGCGATGAGTCACGGGGCCCCTCCTTGGCGTAGGAGATGCCCATGCGGGGCACTCCCTCTTTCGTCCGTGTGAAGGACGGTCGTCGACCTCTCTTGAAGTCAATACATCACCAAAACAGTCTCACCCGATAAATAAGCAGTGGCGTAGGTCGCAAACAGTTTTTTTTTTTTGCTTGGCGGGTCACCATGCATCAACCCCTTTTTCCTGCCGACGACGCCTAGTAGTGTAGTGGTATGCACGCACGCGTGGTGCAATCGGGTAAATAGACCCGTAAAGACGAACTCACTTGACATTACAATACTACTCTCGTGGAACAGCAGCAGCTGTAGCTGCTGCCTTGGGTATCGGTCGGAATGACATCGAGGGGGCGAGGATCCTCTGTTCAAGCACTAAGATCATGTCCCCTGTTTTATCCTTCCGCGGGGAGTTACATCTCTCCGCGCCTTCAGCAGGAACTCCTTTATGTTCCCGTCTAGACTACACATCTACATCCTGTTATGGTCCGTTCGGGCAAATATTCACAATCTTGTTTTTCGCGATATCTTTCGAAAAAAAAACGATTTGGAAAGTGAGACAACTTACTTTGGGCGTGACCGCGGCGTCGAGCTTCGTCGATATCCGATGAGTTTTTGGTGATTGGGTGAAATGCGACATTATCGACCGAAATGACCCACGGAGCCCCCCACCCCCCTCATGACCCCACGGAGCCCCCAAAGTACACCACGACCCCCCCTCAACCCCTCCCTTCTACACGTATATGCCTTCAGAACATCAGTTAAACCGTTACAACGGTTGTCAATCCATATTTACATTATTTACACGTTACATCAGCTGGGGGCTTCAGCCATGCTGCCAAGCTCCCCGCCATCCCGGCGTCCTCCTTGCTCCACCGCGCTCGCCTGTGGCGATGCTGCGTCGACCGGTGGAGAGGTTGCACCGCGTTTTTTCGCGCAGGCGGCGCGACTTCGGGCGCCACCGCCATTGCTGTGCGANAACAACATATTCGCCTGATTGAGAGCGAAGTATCTGATTGAGAGCGAGATCGTGCGATACGATGTAGCTTGTCTACTGCTGAGAGGTAGAGCTTGCTGTGCGGCTTGAATTGAAGGGCTTGCCCATAGCTACAAGCCGATACCCGGGTCATCCTGCGGGTGTCTCGCGTTATGGAGCTACACCGCGGAGCAGAAGCTACGGGAGGGCTTACCGCGCCAGGCGACGGCGCCCTGAAACAACAGTTTCGGGCAGGAATAGCCAATCTGGGGAAATCTAGCAACGTGCGTAGCTCCTCGCTGCTGCAGCCGATCGCAGTGACACGCATAGACTATGCACGCGAAGCTGCTGAAGAGAGCTTCAATTTGCGCCGCTTTTTGGAAGAGCCCGTCCCCTGCTTCCCGAGAAATGACGGGAGGCGTCTGGACCATAATTTTGATTTTTTTTGATTCTCGCTCGCCCTCAATCGGAAACTTCGCTCTCAATCGTGCGAAAACCCTGTTCCTTCCGAATCGTGCCGTCGGCGTTCCTTGGCAGCTTGCGCTTACCCTTTGGGCGACCCATGTGCCCGGAGCGCGTGTGCGTCTTTCGTT